GCAACCAGTCGGCTGGTGAAGATCAGGCCCTTGGGCACTGGCTCCTGACAGCCAATGGCAGCGAGATCCACAAGCACGTGCACTTCAGCGGCAGCTTCACCTCCATCGCCTCTGAGGTAAGCCCAGCCGTGATGGCGAGTGAAACAGAAACAGGCCATTCTGATCACTAAATGGGCACTTCTTATCCAGATGGAACCACTTTTTTTGTCTTGCTGATTTAAATTTCAGCCATATCTTCAAATAGCTTTCCAGTAAATTTGAGTCAAAGGAAAATATCCTATGAGAAAACATTCTTCTTTTTTCCTACTACAAACGGGAGAAGCATGAGTCTTACCAAACTAATTCGATGAAGGAAGTTTATAAACTCCAGAAGAGCCACTCTTGGCTTGTAGTGTCCTTTTAAAAAGTGAACTAAAACGATCATGTTTCTTTGTTGTAGACACAAAAATTAGCAAAAGAGCGAGAAATTGAATGACTCATCTGTAAAATCCATGGTTCGTGCATAAGCCCAGTCCCATGTGTAGACCACATGGGGGCACTTTTAACTGTAAAACTTTACACAGAAAAGCACCACCTGGTGTGGCCAGGAAGCCTTAACTTTGAAGGGGGCTTTGCTGGCCAAAAAGGTTCTTGAATGGAGGCAGCCAGAGGGAAATAAACTGAGGGCACACAGTTTGGTGAAGAGAAACCCTAGGGTGAGAGGCCAGGGCTCATGCTTAGCGGGAACACCAGTACTAGTTGTAAAAATGTTGAAATACTCTGTATCCTTTGCCTGCTCCCCACAAGCTATCCATTTACCTGCTGCCACCCTGGAAGTCCCTCCATTCAATGTTTTTTTCAATTTTTATCATAAATATTGAATTTTGTCATATACATCAGTTTGCAATTTTCAACATCAATTGCAAAGATTGTATGACTTTTTCTTTTCTTCTTTACTTTCTAATATGGTGGATGACACAGATGGATTTTTCAAATATTGAACCAGCCTTGCATCTCTGGATGGCATATGATTCTTTTTAGATATTGCTGAATTCTATTTGCTAATATTTTGTTAAGGATTTTGGCTTTTACATTCACGAGGTATATTGGCCTATAGTTCTCTCTTTTTTTATATATACTATCTTTGTCTGGTTTTGGTATCTGGGTAATACTAGCTTCATAAAATGAATTAAGAAGTGTTTCTGTTTTGTGNGTAGGTGACACATCCCCATGACGAGATACATGCTAAACCATCTTTGACATCATGTGACCACATGACCCCTGTATGTGGCTCTGAGCTAGAGGGCGAATCTCTGCAGAGCCTAAGCTTCATCTTTTCCCTGAGCCTCATGGTGCCCTTTCCTAGCGCTTCTCACGCCATGGCAGAGCTGCCTGCCACCTCTGTGTCCCTTACCTGTACCCAAACCAAGCATGGTCACATGTGTCAGAGAAGACAGAATGGCTGATGGCTTTTGATGGACGCTGCACTGCATACAAGAGCTGCGTGTTCCTGGTGACATAAAGCCATGGCCCTGTGTGTTCAGCTTAGGTCCGCGCACGTGTGTGTGTGTGTGCGCGTGTGCATGTGCGTGTGTGTGCGCGTGCACGTGTGCACACGTGGGATGGGCATGAAAACCTTGAGGGGTGGGAGGAGGGCAGAGAGGATGGAAGATGTGGAAGGTGCTTATTCAGGCTACAGATTGCTGGGAATACTACTGATTAATACGGGTAATCTCGATCAACTAGGTGTCATTGCTCCCTGCATTATGAATCAGGGTATATATCAGCACCGGCTCTTTGTTTTTCAACTGCTCTGTACACATGTTAGTTTCTGCCAGAGAAACACATCCTCCACAATGTAACACGCCTCAGATTAGAGGACCTTTTGGGGCATTTCCTCTTTTACCTAAAATGTTGCTTCTTCTAGAACGATCCAGAGAATAATGCGACGTGTTACTGTATTTTCAACAAGCACTTGGACCAGCGCCTGGTCCATAGTTAGCATGAGACAGGTGTTTGCTGTTATGATTAGTATTGCATCTTGTCATTTATTCATTCATTCATGAGTTGAGTGTGTGATGTTGCTTATCTAGGCCCTGAGTTATTTGCTTTGAAAGCCCCAAGGTGCATCAGACTTAGATCCTGCCCTCAGAGAAGATATATTCCAATAGGAAAAATAAGACAAGCAAATACATAAATATCATGCAGTGAAAAAAACGATATGGGCTGTAAGAAAGGAGCGGAAGCATCTGGAGAGGCTGGAGGGGCCGGCGGGATGGTGGGAGGTGGTGTCTGAGTTGCATCTTGGAGGATGAGAAAGATTCAGACATTCACAGCAGGAGAAAGTGCTTTCTAGGGGAAATGACTGTTAGGGACAAAAGCAGAAAAGAGCATATTTAGAGAAAAGACATAACCGGTCTGCCTGGCCGGACTGGAGGCTGGGCACTTACCAGAACATGGTTTTTTGCACTATCTCTTGCATTCCCTTGCCCCATTCCCTGCCCCTCCTCCCCTCATTTCTTTACCCATCAGTAAATTTCAGCAGATAATAATCAGGGGGCGCAGTTACTATAACGGGTACAAGTGGCTTTCGATTTGCAGCTGCTGCTAAATGTGTAATCTACCTGTTCTCATTTTTATTAAGGTTTGTGTTTTTATAAGCTGACTGCCTCCCGTTCTAAAACTTCCTTGAAAGTATGCAAATAGG